GTGAGCTGGCTGGGGGTAGCTCTCTGGCAGGGGTGCAGTGACTGGGGTTAGTTCTCTGGCCGGGGTTCAGGGTGCGGTGACTGTAGGTAGCTCTCTGGCCGGGTTGCAGGGTGCGGTGACCGGGGGTAGCTCTCTGGCCGGGTTGCAGGGTGCGGTAACCGGGGGTAGCTCTCTGGCCGGGTTGCAGGGTGCGGTAACCGGGGGTAGCTCTCTGGCCGGGGTGCAGGGTGTGGTGACCAGGGGTAGCTCTCTGGACAGGATGCCAGACGGGCACGTGACAAAGTGGATAGGTTTAGCTGTGTTCTTTGCGCTTGGCGTGTGGAACTGGTTCCCTGTGTGCTGCAGTGTGACCCCGGGCAATGGCCTGGAGTTGGGGGTCCCAGCAGCAGGAGGGTTGGGAGGGTTAGGGGGTCCCAGCAACGAGTTGGGAGGACAATGGGCTGGAGAGGGAGGCCCCTAGGGTATGTCTAGACTGCGTCCCTCTGTCGGCAGAGGGATGCAGATTAGGCAGGTCAACATTGCAAATGAGGCAGGGATTTAAATATCCCGTGCCTAATTTGCATAAAAATGGCCACTGCGTTCTGCCGACTCAGCACTTTGTCGGCAAAAAGTGGCAGTCTAGGGGGGATCTGTGGAGAAAGAAAGCCTTTCTCAACAGATCCTGTGAACCTCCTTGCAGGAGGCAAGGACAGAGGAGGGGCCGAGGGAGGAGGCAATACGGGGGATACAGGACAGTGCGAGATGCCCCGGGGATGGGGACAGACCCAGCTGTGCTGTGACTGGCCCTGCCCGAGGGCCCAGAGAGCTGCCTGGGCTGGGGGGTCAGGCGTTCAGTAACTCCCCTGAATCAGTGCAGGCTGGGCATCAGGGGGCCAGAGCGAGGGGACTCCCTGAGGCACCCACAGTGAGAGACAGGCGAGCAGGAGGCTCAGACAGGTGCGGGTCCAGGAGGCAGAGGGATTAGACCCCCAAGAAGGGCTGTTGCACTGAAGAGGATTCCCCACAGGGACCGTATGGAGTTGAGCGTGCACACGCCTGGTGGGCAACTTGGGGGGGCAGGCCTGGCCCGTCTGTGCCACTCACCGAGAAGAGCATGTTCTTCTTGTCCTGGTTCACAGCACGAGGGTCCGGCACAGGGTCCGTGTGCTTGATAACAGAGACCGACTCACCTGGCAGGAGGAACAGAGAGATGAGGCACCAGGAGTCCCCAGCACATGGACAGAGGGGCACCCAAAGGGGCCGAACAGGAACAGAGAGATGCTGCCTTCCATCCCACTGAGGCCCACTCGCTCACCCATGGCCACAGACACAGCCACAGCAGACTGACAG